TTTTTGGGCCCTGAGTTCAGCCTGCCCTTCAGAAAGGGCAAAGGAGAAGGATGTGGAAATCAAAAGGCAAGCTGCCATACGTTAGAAAACACTGTTGCCAAAGCAAGGGCAGTTCTTTGAAAAGAACAAATCTTTTGCTATTGCTTTATCATATGGAATTCTTTGAAATGTTTTTCAAGATCACACTAAATGGAGTCTGCAAATAGAACTGAAAGAAAAATCTCTCTCTCTTTTGTTTTTTTTTTTTTTTTTAGGGCATTAGAGAGAGACTAAAAGCTTAAAGGAAGGAAATGTGTTTTCTGGCCTTATCATTATTTTTATCTTGGCAACGGAATGGAAAGTGAACCCGACTGTCAGCCTACCTATCTTCCCACATTCTTTTTTACCCTACAAGTGTGCTTTTCCTTTAACGATAGTTGTCTTACAGTTAAAAAGTCGTAAAGATTTATTCATGAAGATTTACGTAAAGTCATAAGATTTACTCGCGAGCTGTAACCGAGATGGGAAGATGGAAGTGAAAAGGCCCTGACTTTAAGTCATTTAGCATGGAATTCAGAGGATGGTGCAGTGCTTTGGTTTGGTATAGTTACGGAAAAAGTGATTTTATCACCTGTGTTTAGAAGCCTGAATGCTCTGCAGTCTGTCTGTCGAGGCGCAGACATCGCGTGTCTCTGGAGCTTTGTCAGGAGTGCTCCTGTGGCTGTGGCACCGTCTCCTTGGTCCTCTCCCCGGGAGCGCTTCAGGCTGCGCTTGGACCTGTTAGTCCTCTTCCCGTAATTCCTGACAGTGTGCCTCAGGTCAAGAACAAAGCACAAGTGAGGGAGCACCTGGAGATGCTCAACAAACTCTTCAGCAGATAGAACTTGACTGTCAGACAGGCAGACGCTGTGCTCGGCTGCGTCTTCTTCCGGATGGGAGCAGTTGCAGCCTCGGCACTGACTGAGCCCTGGATGGAGGGAGAAACCGGCCACTGCTGGTTTGCAATGCCCCTGGGGTTAATGGTGTTCCCAGATTGCCCTATTTTCTTCTGGAGATTCCCAATTGAAGCTTTAGGGCTTGACGCCACCTCCTGCTGCCTAATCTGAGATTTCTCACTGGATGAGAGCTACTAGGACAGTATGCAAGGAAGTGTGACCCTTCTCAGATCCCACTAGAGCGCGTCACTCAAGTCCATGCTCCTCGTTTATCTTTCATTCATTCTCTCTTCATTGGCTTTTTTCTCTCATTTCCAGTGTTTCTCTTTCCTCATTCACCTTTTAGTCTGAACATCTCCAACAGAGGTTCCTACCTTTAGCATATCACGATATATAGTGAATGTATTTACACTGAGTAAAAGGAACAAGTTAGAAATTAGACTTAACAAGGGCAGGATAGTTTCAAAATTTGACCTTTGCCACAAGTCTACAAAGGAAGTGGTGATTTTTTTTCTGTCTGCATTTAAAATGATGTTAACAACTACCTCACTATTGGAGTGTAAACATGATGAGAGGTAGCTTGATTGAGAAGTTGCTAGAAGCAAAATACTGTGCTTAATGATCTGGGGTCAGCTGGAGTGACGTGACCCTTGCTTTTCATAAGCTCTAGGTCTGTGCATCCTCCCATGTGCCAGACGTCCTAAGCCTTTGTACACAGAGAGGCATTTCTTTCTTGCAGTGACTAGGCCCTCATCAGACATAGTACAGTTTGCTAGGGAGGAAAAAAACCCCATCATTGTTCCTCCCACATTGTCTTTCTGCGAGTTTCATAATCTTGCACTAAGTTTGGCTATGACTGATAACAAAAGTAAAGTGACAATACTTTTCATACATCTGGGAAAGTGAAGTTAGGAAAACGTGGTGCTTTTCAGAATGTTTAGACATGACCTAATGGTTCTGCTGGTGAACTTGGTGGGAAAGGTATGCACTGATATGAATCCTAAATCCAGAAAATGACCTTTGTTTCAGATTATAGGCTAACCTACTTACTTTTGATGCCACGCCAAATCCCATTTTTCTATACTGACATTTGCTACATTGAATTGATTCGATGTTCTTAGATCTTCCTGGGGGCTTTGTGTGAGTGATGTGTTTGGGTGTTCCCTCTCTGCCGTGAAGCTGATGGAGCCTGTACGGCAGTCGTATTCACTGAGGCCCTTTCAATGTGCGGCTTAGAGGAATCTGACTCTGAATCCTCCGTCTTTTTACTTTCTCATGGAATTGCATGTGTAGGAGCGCCTGCTAACTGCGGGCCCCCCTCTCACCCGTGCTGGGTCCCTGAGAGCAGGAGAACAAATCAGGGTGACCCACTCATTCCGCCCCAGCGTGCACTACAAGTCTTACGTCTGGGAAAGGCCCTCATTCCTGGGAAAACTGCAAAGATTTGCCTGGGATTATCCCAGTTTTAAAGCATAAAGTCCAAGATCTCAGGATCTCCTCTGTCTCAGCAGTCTGGATGGTTGGTCACCCTAGTACCAATGAAGGTCCACATACTTATATCCAAATACTTACAAAATATTAATCAAGTTAATGAATTGTTAAATAAAATAGGTTCTATCCTCCTACCTTGGCAAATAAATGTTTATAATGACCTGGAAGGCTGGGTTTGAAGATTGAATTCTCAGACTCTTGGAGTTCCAGGCTGGAGCATAGTAGTTTTGGTAGAGCTGGTCCCTGGCCATGACCCCTGTCCCGTGACTCTGACTATACAATGAGAGACTTCACGAGTGTACATGTGGACCCCCCAGCCCACCTGTCCTAGCTCAGCCCTCGCCCCTCCCTTGGGTCTGGGGTCAGAGAGTGCTCATACTGGTGGTATGGCCACCTGTGGGCTGACAGATGTAGGGGAAAGGCTGGCTAGGCCTAGGAAGTGGGTGTGGAGCTTGTGGGGAGGGAATTCTGGGTCCTGGCACCTGGAGTGAGGTCTAGAAGTGAAGGATAGACTCTCGTGGACAGGTAGCCTTGCAGATTCAGGCTGTATGTCGAGGGCACGGTGAGAAGAGGACTAGAGTGAGATCTTCTAAAGGAATGGATTACTGAGCAGTTCAAAGAATGACTTGCTCACTTGGAGTTATAAAATATTTCCTTCTGCAGGGGTAGGAAGTCCCCCCAGGGAGGGGACACCATTTGGTCCAGGGACTTTGCAAAGGGGAAGGACTTCAGACGATGGGTGGGCACGCCGCAGATGACATCACCAGGGCTGCCACCAGGATTTCTTGCTGCTTTTTTTCACTCAATTACTCCTCAAACTGCAGGGCAGCTTTCAAGACTCTTCTCAGGGTATCACATCAGCTACAAATGATTCTGACAATACATATTGACATATTATAACTCAAAACTGCTTTGAAATGGCGTTTGGGATAATAAAACTTGAAATACAATTGAAATTTACTGGAATTGATGACTTTGTATGAATTGATGTAGGCCCATCACATGTGGCTGCAGAGGTTGTGCACTGCACAATTTCAGCTGGTGCCATTCACATAGACTGCAGTCTGAATGGCGCCCTCTAGAGTTGTGCAAAGCATGGCAGTATGCAGCATCCCTGAATCAAAGTGCACAGCCATCTACTTAATTTTTCCCCCACTGAAATAGATATTCTTCTAGTTGCACTGTGTTAAAATTCTAATTTGAACACTAGGGCCACTTTTATTTGTTTCTTCATTTAGACTAATCTTGATTATTCACTCAAGAATACATGAACAGAGAATTGGCTCAAGTTTCACTCTATTGTAAATGGTATTTTTCTGCTAAGGGCTCAGAAGTGAAATGAGAACTGAGTCAGCTTTATGGTTTACAAGTTTTACTTTTTCACATGGCGAATGAGGACTAAAAACATAGGAAGTAGCTTTGAAAATTCATTTTGTAATCACTTAAATATTATATTGAAATTTAATTTTATTTCCAAGTGGGCTTTCATATAGAGACCCAGTTAGTTCTGATTGGAGAATCAGTAGCAAATGTTTTTGTCACCAGCTATTGTTGACAGTGATTTTAAAAAGGATTAAAAAGTATTTTTGCAAATCTCATGGGAATACTTTAAAATAGAATATTCTGATCATCTTGATGACTACAGAGTTATCCAGAAAAATTAAGTGGGTATACTTTTGCATTTTCTATAAATATATATTTATTTATAATCTCTTATACATAAACCATTTCAATAGAGAAACAACATTTATTTTTCTGTGTTTTATTAGGGCAAAAAAAGGGTTTATTTAGCCTTGCAACCCCTCCCTGAAGACCAAGTGGAGAACAAAATTGTGCTTTAAATATCATTATACAGGCTGTTTAATAATGTGTTTGTGAACGCAAATGGATGTGCCAAAATATAGTTTGAAAGTAACTCCTAAACCATCAGAGAATAGCAAAAGTGGTACAGAAATGATCTGTCTCTGGAATAAAAATACCAAAATTGCAATTAAAATGGCCCACTGTATAAGAGAAACAGTAAAAAAAAGCAATGGTCTTGGGGCCGGCCCAGTGGCGTAGCGGTTAAGTTCATGAGCTCCGCTTCGGGGCCTGGGGTTTGCAGGTTTGGAACCCCCAGCACAGACCGACTCACCACTTGTCAAGCTATGCTGTGGCGGCATCACATATAAAGTAGGGGAAGATGGGCACGGATGTTAGCCCAGGGCCAGTCTTCCTCAGCAAAAAGAGGACTGGCAACAGATGTTAGCTCAGGGCTAATCTTCCTCACCAAAAAAAAAAAAAAAAAAAGAAAGAAAAGAAAAAGAAATAGTCATAATTCATTGATTGCTGAAGTTTTTCCAGCTAAAGTGATTTGTGATTTCTGTTTATTCATCTGTTTTCTTTTTTGGAGGGGTGGAGGTTGTGGGACTGGGGAGGGAAACAGAGTTAACATGAAGCAAACCAAGAATTTCAGGTTATTTGCCTGTCCTATAAAACCATCTACTCAGTTATAAAACCTTCCATATATATTTAGCTCATTTTAGTGGGTATAAGTTAGTAGTTTTTTAACACCAAATGCATACTTACAAATCTTTGCTTTGTTTTGCTTTTTAGGTGCAAACCCAAATTATCCTGATGTAATTTATGAAGGTAGCTATCATATTGTCTTTATTTTGTATTTTTTAAATGTTTTTCTAAAATGAAATAAATCAACTAAAAGAAGACCTTTAAGCTCAGTTAAATATACACTACAAGCATTACATAGGCCAAAATAATATTTCAAAAATCATTCAATATTGATGGCCGTTTTCCCTTGATATTTACAGTGCCTGTAAATAGCATTTTCTCTCTCATGCTCTGTTCTTGGAAGTAGTAAATCCATTCCGCTGTAACAGACATTTTGTTTCCATAAATGGGAACTAATTACCTGTTTAAAAGCCATGACTACCAAGAAAAGGGAGGTGTATCAGTTTCTGGCTATGACAGTAAACTCAATTCAAAATTGTGTTTCTCGTATAATAAGGACGTTTGGCTCACAGACAGGAACCTGCAAGGTAGGGCATGTTTTAGAGTTGGTTAAACCAGCAGCTCAACCGTGTCATCAGGGACCCAAGTTTTCTCATCCCTACACTCTCTGTCCATTGTGCCAGCTTCACTGAAAGCTGGTGCCCCTTATACTTATCAGATGAGGCAGCAGAGGGGCTACTGTCATCCACATTGATGGGAGGAAGGGAAGAGCTTCTGCAAGTGTTCCAGAAGAAAGGAAACTTCCCCAGTGACCTCCACCAAGCTCTCCTTGAATCAGATTTAAGACCCAGTTGGGTCGTGGTCTGTTCTTGCCTCCATTACTGATTGGAGCAATGGATTAACCTTTAACTAACTAGACCCACCCCTGCAGTTTAGATCAGCTTCCCCGGAATATGTTCTTGAACCCCTTGAATACAATAGGATTCTCTTAGGAATGTGGAAGAAGAGAAGCCAAAAGGTCCACTATGTTAGCTTTTAACCGAATACCTTATCTGTACTTTTCTATTTTTAATCAAATGCCAGGGATCCATCTTTAACAGATTTTCAAACCACTTTCATGACCAGGAGGCCTCTGTTTGGGAAAGTGGCAGGCTAAATTTCAAGACTTGCCTTGAAATTTAAGTTTGATTAAAAGTTAGATGGATTAAAATGTTATTTTTATAACTTATTCTATAAAACATTCTATTCTTTAATTTTATGTTATATATACACATTATCTTTTCTATAAAATGATTCTGTTTGTATGTTTATTATATGTGTGTGTATTTAACTTGAGCTATTTTTAACTGGGGAATTATATTGTTTTTACCTTCTTTATGCATGTGAAGCTATATATCCTTCAAGCTGTGGTTTGGATGATTTTGTGCGTGTGATTTGTGTCTTTTTGTTTTTATTTGTCTTGATATGGTTTAAAGGAGGAGTATGTCAAATTGTGTCACAGAGAAATATGTTTGAATTGTGATTTTACATTTTAAAATTATGTTTTAGACTCTTTTCCGGTAACTTCAAGATTTTAAAAATGTCTTCTTGTTGACTTCAGATCCCACTTTGGATCTTTGGGTCAAAATGTCATGATATTAAACTATAGTTTAATGATTTAATTTTGCATGAGTGGCTGGATGTAATATGAAGAGGGAAAAATAAGCAAATAAATGCTCTTAGTGTTTGATTAAAATTAAATTTTAATACATTCAAAATGGAAATGGTGAGAATGTGGTTTTGGAGCTAATAAAACAGCAAACAGATATAAAATAGATGATTTTGTTACTTTTCATTCACATTCAAAGGAACACTCTGCTAATAAAAATATAATTTAAATTGGTTGCCCTGAGGCCAACATGATAATTCTACCAAGGGAAGTTTATCTGGGGCTGACTTAATGAGGTTATTTGTTTAGGATGGAAATTGAAGGCACCATATCTGTTTAGAATAAAAATATAAAACATTTATAAACAGCATTGTCTGCAATAAGTTTACCAAGAATTTTCTCTGACCTTTTATATGTAATATTATTAATAAAAACTTTGCCCACAAAAAAAAAATCAGTCATTTATTTCTATCCTGATCCATGTAGACTAAAATTGATTTAGAAGATGGCAACTACATTTGAGACATGGTGATTTGAGAACATATCCTTACAATTCTAAATATTGTGTTGGTGCAGGTCTCTATCTATTAATTCTGAATCTGAAACACTGGCAATTCAGAACTCTTCATTAAAGTTCATATGTGGACCCAAGTTCCACATTCCATCTTGAGCAGCTGACTCTTACTCAGATAAGATGCGTCTGCCCTAGGAATCAGTGTTGCTGATTTCAAGTCTGGTTCATGTCTAGGCTCTGTCACCTTCTTGCCAGGTGACCTTAGACTGGTCATTTAACTTTCCTCAGCTGACATTCTTCAGCTGTAAAACTGGCAGTTGGACTCAATCTCTAAAGACTGTTCCAGGTCTAATAAATCTGTGACTCTTAGATGATCAATTTTCTTTAGTATTTATATTAGATACGTCATCAAAAAAGAGGTATATTCTTATGTACAAAGAAAAACTCTAAACCTGGTTTAGAATTTGACCAACAAAACAGTGATGTAAAGATCTGGGTTGAATACAAATTTGGCGTCGCGTGGTCCCTACGCCACAGCGGATTTAACTCAACAGCCAGGTCACTCTTCTCCCCAGCCAGGCTGTCAGTGGTTTGGAATCTTTGTGATTTGTCTTGGTTCGTTCTGGGTCAGACTGTGGGCTCGTGTTTGTTGGCAATAATGACAACTTCATGGTTCCTTCTCTTTCCCGTTTCTCCAATTTAAGATTATGGGACTGCAGCGAATGACATCGGGGACACCACGAACAGAAGTAACGAAATCCCTTCCACAGACATTGCTGACAAAACCGGTCGGGAACATCTCTCGGTGAGTGGGATATAGTTGCCTCCTAGGATGGTTCTGAGCACTTTGGATGCTTACATGTTGGAGGAATGGAGCTGCTTCAATGCATGTCTTTCAACAAGACATTCTTGTTGTGCAGGTGTAAATAGGGTGCTGAAGTTTGGAGGAATTGATAGAAAGGTTTAAGGGAAGTGATAAATGTCCTCTATAGCCTCTGACTTAATTGCTTTTCCTCTTGTGCACCACTTTAATTGCTACTGGTTCCTACTTTAAATATGTGTCCTTTAAAAGGTTATCACTAGAAGAGCAAGAAACCAGAAGGGACATGTATAATTATTCCTGTCTTCCACACGTTCCTACTTGTCTCCTTAAATTTTTTTTGAGGAAGATCAGCCCTGAGCTAACATCCATGCCAGTCCTCCTCTTTTTGCTGAGGAAGACTGGCCCTGAGCTAACATCTGTGCCCATCTTCCTCCACTTTATGTGGGACGCTGCCTCAGCATGGCCTGACAAGCAGTGTCTCGGTGCATGCCCAGGATCCGAACCCGGGCGACCAGCATGCACTTCACCACTATGCCACGGGGCCGGCCCCTCCTCAAATATTTTAATAAAAGTTTCAATGCCCACCAAATTTAAGGAATCTAGTAGATTCTGGAAGGGAATGGCAGTGAAAGAGTATAAAAATATAAATGAAATACCAGGTCCATCCTTTAGGAGCCCATACTTCATTCAGAGACCTGAGATGTGACTGAATCCTAGCGCCTAAAATACAGAGGGAGGCTGAGCAATGTGAGGGGGGAGATAGAAATAGAGGGGCAGGTGAGAGCCAGAGGCGTCTTTGTGCGACAGGCGGCATTTTTCGTGGCCTGTGTAGGACAGCTGGGATTTGGACACAGAGGAGCAGAAGGGAAGGACATTTTGGGTGTGTGAACAAGAGCTTGCAGACTGGAAAACAGTATTGATTGGAAGGTAAGGCATGTGAAGGGCGACAGTCAGAGGCAAAGTTGGAGAAGACGGTTGTGCCAGGTCATGAGGTCTTGAAACACAGTGCCAGGTGGTTAGATCTACTGCGCAGCAAGGAGCCACTGAAGGGGGCGTGCGCGTGCAGCAGGGTCATGTGGCCCCAGGACTCTGCGGCAGCGTTGGTCTGTCAGCTGCTCAGATTAAAACCCAGCAGGCTTCCTTCATTCTCTTCTTTTCTTCCTTTGTCACACGCACTCAGTCCCATGTGCTGTGAGCTCTGCCTCCTTATGAACTCCAAACCCATCCATGTCTCCCTGCCTCCACTGCCACAGCACGGGCGAACCCAGGGGTTGGCAAACTCTGGCCCGAGGGCCAAGTCTGGCTCTCCACCTTGTTTTTGTGTGGTCTGCAAGCCAAGAATAGCTTTTACATTTTTAAGTGGTTTGAAAAAAATCGAAAGAAAAATGATATTTCGTGACACATGAAAATTTTATGAAATTCAAATGTCAGAGTCCATAAATAAAGTTTTATCGGAACCCAGTCATGCCCATTTGCATATTGTCTGTGGCTACTTTTGTGCTACAATGACAGGTGGAGTACTTGCAGCAAAGACTGTATGGCCTGCAAAGCTGGAAATATTTACTATCTGGCCCTTTACAGAGAAAGTTTGCTACAATTGCTTGTTCCTGGATGACCATGATAGCCTCCTACCCAGCCCTCCAACTCTTGTGATCTTCCAGCCTTTCTCCACACAGCAGTCTGAGTGACCTTTTTAGAGTACAAATCAGATCACTCTTTTATTATCATTCTCAGAGGCTTCCTAATGCAATTGTAATAAAACTTTTATTACAAAAGCCCAACTCCTCGTGGTGGCTCACAAGGCCTCACATGTCTTGCCCTTCTCTGTCTCTCTGACTTCATCTCTCACATCTCCCCACTGCTTATCACTTGTCTTTTTTAAATGCTCTCTTACATGCTCTGGGCTTACTCTTGTCTCACAGCCTTTAGGTTGCCGCTCCGTCAGGAAGGCATACACTTCCCGATGGTCATCACATGGCTTTAGCTAGGGTGGCCAGCAGGTAGCCATCACCCTGTTTCATTTTCTTCTGAGTAGTTATTATTGTCTATAATTACCTTGCTTATTTATTTGTGTACTTGTTTCATGCCTTTTTCCCTTTCCTAGATTCTTTATTAAGATTCTTAGTATAGGCAACCTGGTCAGTGTTTTTCCCAGCTGTCTCTCTAGTCCCTAGAATAGTGCTTGACACCCAGGAGGCACCCAATACAAATAGTAGGCTGGTTGGACTAATGATGAACACTGTAGAATAGGTTGCAACAGAGACATTGGAAGTGGGGTGATGAGTCAGGGGTCTGGTGCAGTAATAAAGACGTGTGATATGTATTTAAACCAGGGCCAGGGCAGTGGGAACAGGAGCCTCATAAACAGATGCCCCTCAACTGGAAGTCGAAATGTGCACATCCAGCCTCTGGAGACACACACACACACTCTTCCACAGATGACTGTGTGCATTACACTGAAGTAGCAAGGACAAATGCCATGAGAACTCACCTGCAAAATGTTTTCTACTTCCTACTTCATTTCAATTTTTGTTCTCATACCAAACCACTTAATGTTTCTTGGTTTGAGAAAGTTGTTCATATACATAAGGAATCCGAGGAGTGTGTGTTAAGCCCACAGATGTGTATACATCCCAGTTACTAAAAAGTATATGCCAACTTCAGTTTTCTCTTTTGAGTCCAAATGATAAATCTAAGCCCCCAACTGGCACATCTCAATGATGTCTGACCTGTCAATGGTGGGGTCGCTGGAAGACAACGTCAGTGAAAATAATCTTTGTTGAAAGTGTGTACATTATGACTCTACCTGAGGCCACCTGAGAAATCTGCATGAAAGGTACAAGGCAATGTTTGGTAGAATTTAAAGGAAATTTTAAAATTGTGAGTGGATCAGATATTTGATACATCAACAGTCTCCGATCACAGGAAGGATCATTAGATTAGAAGAGTTTCAGAGCCAGGGAGCAGGTAGGAAAGTTAAAGGTGTTGTCAGAACACTTGGAAGACAGCCTCAAGCACTCACCTTGGTGGTCCAACAAGTCTCCTCACTGGCCTGGCTCGGCTTTGGGAGGAGGGCAGCTCCTTGTTCTGTGCTAAGAGATATCCTCAGATAAAAACCAACCAAATAGCTAACCAACCGACCAAACAAACAAATGTGAACTCACCCCTGCTTGTCTCCCAGTAAAGACCACACCCACCCCAACACACGTGATACATGAAACTCTGTATTTATCAAACAATCCACTTTTGAGGAAGTGATTCTTCTCATTGTCCCAGGAGTCTTGTTTTTTGAAAGATTCTTTACATTTAGCACTGCTTCAATAGGTTTAAATATTTGTCAGCAGATCATTAGATGCTCTTCAGCAGTGGAACCCCTGCCCATTTTCCAGGTTGACTTAAACATCCTAGAAGGATCTAGAGAAGACAGAGCAGGTATTACTATCCCCATGTACAAATGAGGAAACGGAGGCTTGGAGAAGGGAAGCATCTGTTAGCTCCTAGAGCTGGTAATGGCAAGGTGTCCTGCGAACTTAAGGCCCCAGGTCTCCTGAATGCCAGTCACGTACTTTCCGAAGTGGGTGAGAGACTGTCCCTTGGCGCCACAGAGAGGTCGTGGACCTCAGGGCAAGTCCTCTATCCTCTCTCCATCCCGGTTTCCTTATCTATACAATAGAGTTTGAACTTGTTTATTTAGGTATTCCCCTTCTATCTGCAGACGTTTGGAATTTAATAGTAAGGAAGAGAAACTTAGAGCTAAAATACTATGATTTCTTCTCCATGAAAATGTTAGTTAGAAATAAAGATTAAAAAAAACACCCCAAATCATTAGGTAAGTTAGAGAGAAATAGTTTTGGTTAGAACAAGTTGATCCGTAATTAGCCTTTTAGGAATCACTGCCGTTCTGTTTGCATATAGGCTGTGGAGTCAGAGTACAGTCTGTCCTCAAACATTTGCAGAAGCATTCTCTGGGAGAGCAGTCACAGCTCAAGTCCCAGAGCAGAGAGTTGTCACACCTTTCTCCACCCTGGCCCCGTGCTTGGCGTGTGCTCTTTCCTGTGCTTTGTGACTTATTTAATGCTGTCCTCATCTGACCAGGAGGTGCCTCAGGAGGATCAGCCATGTGTTTTTATTATCCTGCCTTTGTTCTCAGCCACATGCTTCGGAGAGGCAGGGTAATGGCTAAATCACAGGTTTTATACTTGGGCAGACTTTGGTTCAAATCTCAAGCTTGAGAGGTGTGACCTTGGATTGCTTACTTATTTTTTTCTAAATCTCAGTTTTTCATCATCATAATCATCACCATAGCCAACTTTAATTTATTATCTATTGTAGTAGACACTGTTCCAAGCCCATTATCTGCATTAACTCATTGAGGATTTACAACAACCTACAAGGTAGAATTATTACATTCCCTATTTTACCCATGAGGATTATGAGATGCTAAGAGGTTAAGTAATTCTGAAGTTATGCAGCTAATAAGTGGTAAATCTAAATTTCAAACTCAGGAAGAACCCATGTTCTTAATCTCTGCTCTCTACTGCCTCTCACTGTGGGATGAGTGTATCGATCAGGATAAGCTATGATGCAGTAACAAAAATCCCTGAATTTTAGTGGCTTAACACAACAAAGGTTTATTTCTTGCTTGATTACATGTATTGTCTGGGAGCTCTGCCAGCCTTATCCTCATTCCAAGACTAGGCTGACAAGGTAGCCACCTTTTGCAAAGTTAGCACTTATTATGGCAGAGAGAAAGAGAGCCCTGGAGCAGAGTTTCTCTACCTTGGCCCTATGATATTGGGGGATGAATAATTGCTCGTTGTGCGGTGCTGTCCTGGGCACTGTAGGATGTTTAGCGGCATCCCTGGCCTTGACCCACTCAATGCTAGCAGCACTCTTCCCCTAGTTGTGACAACCACAAATTGCCAAATGTCCCCTGGGTGCAAAATTATCCCTGGTTGAGAGCCACTGCCTAAGTCTAAGAGTAGCAAGGGTTCAGTAGTAATGTGGTCCTCCACCTGGCAGTCACACAAGTCTCAACTCATTGGCCAGAACTAGTCACATGAACTCATCTCATCACAAGGAAGCCAGAAGTGACTCCTATGAAGAGAAACACAGAGAAAAACAGAAATGTTTGGTAAACAGCAATAACAATTACCACAGACGGGGATAATAATATCTGTCTTAAGGATTGTTATGCAGATTAAATGAAACAAAGATGTTTAAGCATCTAAGTCAGTGTGGACATCTAAGACAGTTTAGAGCAGGAGTTGGCAAACTGTCGGAATCCGGCTGTCCATCTGTTTTTGCAAATGAAGTTTTATTGGAACACAGCTGTGTACATTTGCTTACATACTGTCTGGCTGCTTTCGTGTTCTACCAGCAGAGCTGAGCAATAGAGGCTGTATGGCCCCCAAAGCCTAAAATATTTACTATCTGACCCTTTACAGCAAGTTTGCCTTGTGGTTTAGAGAATCCAACTTTTCTTGGAAGCAGGACCCACTTGGGGTGAGCAGTAGGAATGGAGGGACGTGCATAGCCCTCTTCTGTCTTTATTTCTACAGTGTTAATGCATACTTAGTTAGCATTATGCACTTGTGCCTCTGTCATCTCCAGCTCAGGGTGTGACAGGATTCACACAGGTCTGCATCTACTCTCTCTACGTGGATAATTCACATCTTGTAATTTTACATTTTTAAATTTTAAAAAACTTTCTATTGACCTCTATCATATATACATATATAAAAGTGCGCATACCATACATCTACAGCCCAATGAGCTTTCACAAGCTAGACTCACCCACAAGTGCCCTCCTTCCAGGCTGCTCACTGCTCCAGGGGACCTTGACGTCTAAGAGCAACAATAGCCAACTTAAAGAAAAGCTTCTTGTTGTGGTCAGTTTTCAAACATGCACAACGGTAGAGGGAATAGCTAAATGAACCCCATTGTATCTTTCCCCAGCTTCAAAAATTATTAGTGTTTTGTCATTCCTGTTTCATATACTTTCTCTCTCTCTTCTCTCTCCAGATAGGTAGGTAGGTAGGTAAGTAGGTAGGTAGGTAGGTAGACAGACAGACAGATAGATAGAGGAGAGATAAATAGAGATATAGTTATATATATGTAATATCTATATCTCTATATACTATTAATTGGATACCCATTTTTATAAGCTTCAACTTACGTTTTCTCATTTGTAAAGTAGGAGTAATAATAGGACCTGTGTACATACTTCATTGTAGGCTTGTTGAGGATTAAGTGAATTGATATATATAAAGCTCTTAGAAGAGCAAGTAGTAAGCATTCAATAAATATTAACTGCCATCATCATCATCATCATCTGGGTACAGGGAACTGACCAGCAAGGTCATAACTGCCCTCTCTTCCCTTCTCTAGGTCTATGCTGTGGTGGTAATTGCATCTGTAGTGGGATTTTGTCTGCTGGTAATGCTGTTTCTGTTGAAGTTGGCAAGACACTCCAAGTTTGGCATGAAAGGTAAGAAGGGTTGTATTTATTTTGCTTCTTCTGTGGAATAATTTTTGGCTTATGACTAATGCTAATTACCACTAAAGAAAGAAGCAGCTAGATTTACGATGACTGGGTTTTAAGGCTGAAAAAATAGCAACAAGGATATGATACTACAAATCAAGACAGAGCAAAATAATATTGATTACTCAGCACTGCCCACTTTGCAATGAGGACCATTGTCCCGGAAGACACAAAACTGGTTTCTTGAGAATCAAGTGACCAATAATGATATGGGCAAATAGTACCCGAGTTTTCCTTTTGCTTCAGAAGTGCAGGCGAGGCTCGGTGGCAGTAGGCTAGTTATGGACACATGTATTTTGCACAGAAAGGTCCTTTCTATTGTATATTTGACCTCCAGATCTTCTGTGATACACTTTTGGTGTTGCTACTGCTTCTTCAGATTCTCATCTGTTGAAATTCAGCGTTGGGAGGCAAAATAGGAACAGCCATTGGAGGTACATCGAAGCTTTGTGAATGAGTGGGGTTTTTTAATGCAAAAGTTCCCAGTGCTCAATTGAAAATTAAGGACTGGGTTGCCCAAGAAGAGATCATTGGTCTCTTTTAGAGGATTGAAAATTCATTTTGGGGGGGAAAACTTATGTCAATGTTCTTATTACATAAATAGCTAAGAGGTTTAGTGATTTGAAAGCATTTGCTCTGAGTTTAAACTTATATATTCACTAATATGTTATTGTTGAATTTTGTATGGTCTCCTAAAAGTAGCTACTAGCTTGAGGAAGCTGTGAAGAAGGTTTAGTGGTGTCTTAATTGTGTTGGAGAGAAGGTCTGGTGGGTTTTCTTGGTCTGTATGTTTCCCTGCAATTACTAGCCATGTTTTTGCGTTTGGAAGGGAATGTTTAAGTACAGTAAGTTGCTCAGCATACAACTGGGCTCTGGGGTGGATAGGATCTATTTCTGACGTTTTCTCCTCTCCCTTTGTTGGTGCTTGTGACCGAGATTTCTAAACCCAAAATGAACAGGGAGGATAGTGATAAATTGGGGCTTAAAAACCCCAAAATCTCCTCCTGACTCCCCCTTGACCTTTCTTTTGGAGGAGGGAGATCTCTCATTCTCCAATTATAAATAGGGCTTGGGAGAGGGACTATACTACAGTGCTTTTAGTTAATCCTACGGTGGTGGTTCTCAAACTTTACTTTGCATCTGAAACTCCTGTAGGGCTTGTGAAAACACAGATTTCTGGGCGACCCTGAGTTTCTGATTTAATAGGTCTGTGGTGGGCCTGAAAATTGGCATTTCTAACAGTTCCCAAGGGATGCTCATGCTGTGTTGCCCAAACATTCTTGGAGAATCACTGTTCTATGGGGTAAACATGGGCTACCAGGTCTCTTTCTGAGTGTGACAAGGTGTGGGAGAGGCATTGCAAACCAAACTCACCCACTGCTTCAGAGACCTTCCTGGGTCCCCATGTCCCACTGGCACCCGTGTCCGTGCCAGGCTGCTGCTCTCTGCCTGTCAGCTAACACCATGGACTTTTGCTTCCCTCATTCTGATCAGGTGCTTTCTCTCCTTAGAGGCACTTGCAGTGGGTGTCCCCAGGCATAGATTTTACCGGAGAGAGCCAGATTCTAGCATGGTCTCTTTCCCGCCTTGAGGGTTTAATTTGAGACTTTTCATCTCATGGGCTCTTCAGTGAGAGGATATGTCCAGGTCCTTTTCAGAGCTCAGCAAAAGATTTGGGAACCCTTGGAGCAATATTTAGGAGTCCTTCTCCACCTCAGCTTTGTGTTAGGGAAACAGGTGACAGAATGGTCTGTAAAAGTTAGCGTATTCTCTGTAACACCATGATGGAGGAGAATAAAAGGTAGACATTTTGTTGCAGAGAAGATTGTATTTCATGTAGAGACTCTGGCACTAAGACTGACAGTATTTTACTTGGATAATTTGGGGTGATTACAGCTAAGGCACCTACATTTTCAGAGTATAACCTAAGGGTATCTTTAATGAATTATGAGAAAAATGCTTAACCTTGTCGCAGAGCCAGTAAATAACTTCCTCAGGCTGTAACTACTATAGTATATGTTTCGCGCCCTTATTCCTAAACATAAATTGTTTTAAAAATTTATCTTGGAAGCTCACATACTTGTTTAGAATAGCTTGTTTTTCTATTTTCAGCTACACATCTATCTGTGCCATGGTTTGAACAAAATGGGCCTGAGCTGGGGTTCTTGTTTTGCTAGTCAGATGCTGAGTTGATAATTTAGGGGGACCTAGAAGATAAGATGAGGCTCATGCAATGAGGGCAAATGAGACTGCATGAAAAGTGCTATTTAAAAATTAGTGTAAGTTAACATACTTTAAATACTATTAGAGCTGGGATTACTGCTGAAAAAATGTCTTACAAAAGGGAAGAATATGTAAAAATACTATTATACTTCCAGAAATAACTAGGAAATATGTCAGTTGTGATTTCTGAGTAGGAAAGGTATGAAATGTGCATAGCCTTGGCCAGAACTGCAGACACTGTGAGAGGTCAGTGGCTGATGTGCAAATGAGCTACTCTGAGTGTAATTCTTGCCCTCATAAGCATCTTCGGGAAGATTCTACCCCTATTCATATTCCCTTGTTCTGGAGACAGATTGAGACTGAAGGATGGCTGCCAGCCCACCCACAGGCATTTACAGCTTTTTGCCCCTCCCCAGCATGCACACTTCAGTCTCAAGCATCAATTGTTTTGATTCGTGGTAGCAGCCTTTGGATTATAAACTACAATATAATACTGTTGATTTGAAGGGCCCAGGGTAACACAAACCAGAAACCTCTTAAAATCACATTGCAGCTGGATGCAGGGCAGCTCAAGCTTTATGGATTGACCTGAGAACCCAAACATTATTGACGGCATCGCTTCCATCGGAAGGTGATCTCTAAATTTCAAACTAGTGAGTTAAACCTGGATTTTAGAATACACCTCATGAGCTGTGATGTGTTCTTTGTAGATCTATGTGACTGATCTTTGTAGTCTATGTGACTGTAAGCTTCATAGGGTTTTTCCTCTGTTCTGTCAATTCACCATAACCAAATGCTGATGGTGCGATCTAGAACATGTAGCCGAGACAGTGAGCTCCATAGTGACAGTGTCCACATTGGTCTTGTTCATCATTACTTACCCAGTGCCAAGCCCGAAGTTGGCACTCAGTAAATCTGAATTGGATGAATGAATGGTCACAGAGAATTCTCAACTTCATCCACTTTAGTTTGGTAATCGGAAAACAGTTACTATGTGGAGGACAGCCTGTACATGCATGGTTGAAGAGACATCTTGGACCTTTTCTGAGTTTCTGCAGGGATCAAAGCCCACTCCACCTTTTATCAATTAATCCAGATAAATAAAGGCCATAGACAGGAGGTCATTTTGTCCAGGTTTTGACTTAGGATGTGTAGGTTTTCACACAGTTTTAAACAATTATTATTGTTTAAGTTGGGAGGGTTCACTTTGGCTTTCCATTTTGCACATGAGCATCTTCAATTTCTGCCTCTCTGCCTTTGAATATACAGCCTCAAAATATGTCTTTGTCCAGCTCTGAAGCCGGCAGAAGTGCCAGATGGTGGCTCTTATCTTGGCGTTAACCTAGAATTTATCTTTCATTATAGCTGATATATTTTAAGCTTCTTGTTGCTAGTGTCCAATAGACTACCAGCCCTGTTTCAATAAAGATGTCAGGAGGTAGAATTTACTGCAGTCCTTTTTCCCCTGTTCATTTCTGTGCCTTTATACCATCCACTTGCTTTTTTGTCGAAAACCTAGTTACCATAATTCTAGAAGCCCCGAATAAAGCCCCTCTGTTAGTGTTTGGCTATCTATGTAAAGATTATTCATATGTGTGTTTAATATGGATGCATAAAATGTATAATGAAGCTATTTAATCTATGCCTGTATTGATACCCCTATACGTAAATGCATAGTTTTATGCCTTTTCTTTTAAGGCTGCCTCTGATTTATTTTAATTTTAATTTGCACTGAAAAAGGGCTCAAAGACTTTTCCAGAGCAGCTTCATTGCCAAAGGAACAGACATCCAGGCCTCTGAATGCTCTCGCTTGTGCTGTGACCAAGTCTTGTATTTAGCTCTCACGTTGCTTCCTGGCTCCCTTTTCTCGTTGAAGACGTAGAAGTGTGCACGAAGGGGAAATGGAGGCAGCTTGGGGCACAAGGGCTGCCGAGTCTTCCAAGAGTTCTCCACGCTGGGAGCCCTGCCTCATGGCATTGATGGTGTACAGGGCTGGAAAAAATATAAGGGAGCCAGCAGGGCAGAGGGGGCTTGGCATTGTCACACTGGTGACAAATAGTTGTGGCCATCGGCTTTGTGTTACTTGCATTTCCTCGTGGAAGTCCACATATGATATTTATTCCCTAAGTACTGTGCATCATTTCTCCTTCTAGAGAAATATCTAAGTGACCCTCAGAGATCCCGCAGGAGAAACTGGAATAGGAAGGCTTTTCTCTTATTCAGTGTTGAGAGCCTGCAGATTCCCTCTGCAGCCTCTTGCCCTTGCACACAAACCTCTGATATGCATTCATTCCTGCTATTTGAGCTGTAGGGATTTCCAATTAGTAATTGACCAAAGAACTATGCTGCTTAAGAATGCAGAGCTGGGTTTTCTTAACTCGGATTCAAGGCCCACAGTTAAGTTTTTCCTCTAATAAATGATCTCCTCAATGTCTTTCAATAGCAACCAAAAATTTGGTTATTTAAAAATAGTCATAAACATAATGGGGCCAAAGCTAAGGAGGTTGAAGGTTAAAGCCTTTTCTATGAGCTGAAAACAATTCTGGAAACTTTAGGAGATTGAGTTTAACAGATATTTGGATCAACTTTTAAAAGAGAAAAAAATGTGACTGAAAGCCAGAAACACAGCTGTAGAAACATCTGTAGGGACAAATTGTTTTCCATATGCCCCCCAACTCAGCCACTGTTTTTTAAAGCAAATAACGTTAAAAAGTATAAAAAAA